GCATTTAGTTAAAATCATTTATTTAAATTAACTGGATTGATCTAAGGAAACTGGATTTATTATATTTAGATAAAATGAAGGAACTGGATTTATTATATCTGGATGAAATGAAGGAATCTAGATTTATTGTATCTAATCTGGATTTAAAATATAAATCTGGTTCTAACCTTTAAGTGCAACCGGATATCCAAAAAATTTTACTTGTTTAAATAAACTAGCAGATAGCAATCATGAAGTCTTAGATCGAAGGTTTACATTTGGTCACAATTTCATTTTGATTTGAAAAGTTTCTCCATAGTTTTTTTTCAGATGTATTTTTTTTTTAATTCTACCTTCTCACAATTTTTGATTTTTTATATTTAATGTCCATTTTTTTATTAATTATTTTATTTTTGAACTTTTTTTAATTTAATTTAATTTTTAAATACTCACGATTTTTTTTAATGTGTTCTTAAGTACTTATCTCGATTAATCAAAAATTAAAAATCAAATATTTTTAGAGTCGAATCATGATTAAATCGATTCTCAAATTTATTTTAAATATTGAAATCAATTTGAATCCTTGAAATGCATGTGAGAAGAAACTTAATTTTAAAAGATTTTAAAAGATAAGAATGTGGCATTGTTTCTCGTAAAATATTCTCAAAGAAATGAACTCCTTTAATTTTTCTTTTGTATTAATAATAATAGTATCTTGTTCTTTTTTAATCACAATCAAAAGCAATGTAACTTAATGAAATATTGTCTCAATAATTTGAACTTTTTAAAGATGATTTATTTTTTACGCTCATTCAAATCAAATAACTGGACTCAAAAAAAATATTATCCAATTTATATTCGTTTATTGAGTTTATTTTTTTTTCTTTTTGAATTCTTTGTTTTAAAAATATCGACTAATTAATCAGTTTATTTTTTAATTATTACTTCATCAAATAATTTCTTTTTTTAATAAGATACCAATCTTGAATTATCTTACATCTTGATTTTTTTTTCTTTTTTAATATACAGATTAATAGTTTATTTATTTTTATTAAGTTTTATAATAAACTATACTACACTTTTAATAATATACATTTCAAGTTAAATCTGAAAATAATTAATGCTTCAAATGGTTCAGTTCAGTCTGAATTATAGGCTAATCCAAAACTGAACTGAACTGTAAACTGATAAAAATCTAAACTGAACTGAAAATTTTGGATTAATCTGAAATTTCGGATTGTTTGGAGTGATAATTTTATCATTTCAATCAAATGATCCTTTATCATTCTTTTAGAATGATGATTTATTGTTCCAATCAAATGATTTTCTTATCATTCTTTTGGAATGATAATTTAATCATTCCAATTGAATGATCTTTTATCGTTTTTTTAGAACGATAATTTAATAGTTTCAATTGAACAATTTTCTTATCGTTTATTTAGAGTGATAACTTCAATCGTTTCAAATGAACATTTCTTTTATCATTCTTTTGGAATGATAAAAAATTATTCAATTAGAACGATAACTTCAATTATTCCAAATGAATGATTTTTTATCATTTGTTTAGAATGATAATTTGATCATTCTAATCGAATGATTATTTTATCATTTGTTTGACATGATAATTTCATCATTCCAATTGAACGATTCTTTTATCGTTCATTTAGAATGATAATTTTATCATTTCAATCAAACGATTTTCTTATCATTCATTTAGAATAATAATTTCATCATTCTAATCGAACGATTCTTTTATTATTCATTTAGAATGATAATTTTATCATTTTAATCAAATGATTTTCTTATCGTTCATTTGGAATAATAAATTTAATCATTCTAAACAATCTGAAATTTTGGATTAATCCAAAATTTTGGTTCAGTTTGGATTTTTTTCAGTTTGGATTAGATTTATAATCTGAAAAAAATCTGAACTGAACTGAAAATTTTCAGATTAAATTTTTTGTAATCTGAAACTGAACTGAAGTTGATCTGAACTAAAAATTTTTGGATTAATCTGAATCGTTCAGAGCTTTAAAATAATAAATAATGAAGAAAGGCAATATGTCATTTACCATATCAACCAGATAATTTGAAAATTTTTTATAATCATATAAAATATACGTATTTGGTTCTAGGATAGTTGATTTCTCAAAAAAAAATTATTTATAAAATGAGAAGCTGAGAATTAGGAAATTTTTCTTTTCAATTTTTAATGACAATCATATACTGCGCAAAAGTTATTTTCAAAAATTAATTTGATTATTTTAAAAGTTTAAAATAATTATTTTATTTTATATTGAATAGCATAAATTTCTTATTAAAGTTACTATTTAGTTAATATTAAACAAATTCTTTTTTTTTTCATACCACTATTAAGCTAAATACTATGTTGTTAGGATAACAAAGCTTATTTGCTAACAGGGAGTTTAAGCCATTAAACTATGAAAGAATTTAGTTAAGTTGAAAGTTCAGGTCATCTTTATTAATGATTTATATTTATTCAATTGTACAATAGAAACTTGTTTCCTTATTAAGGTGATAATACAAGATATTTATATAAAATACAATTATAAGAAAGAGATATTTAATAAAGAAAATAAATATAACTATGATAATAAATATAATAAATAAAATAGTGATAAACGATATAATAATTATAATAAATAGAATAATGATAACTGTGACAAATAATGGAGATCACTGGTGACCTTAATTAGCGTAGTCATTTAGTAATGCATATGGATTATCTCTAACACCGCTTAATCATTCTTTCTCTTTTTTTTTTAAAAAAAAAATTATTACATATTTGTATATAAAACTACGTAATTACCTTATATGCTTATAGTTATGTTAAGAGGTTAAAAAAATTAATATTGATTGATTTTATATTGTAGTATACTTGGATTGTAATTATTCCGCTTTTTATATAATGCTAATATTTAGCCTTAAAATTTAGAATAGCTGATGAAAATATATATATATCATAATAAAATAATCAATTTAATTAGTTTAAAAGTTAGAATAATAATTTGATCTGTAATATGATTTTAATAAATCATTCCAAATTAAAGTTAATGCTTAACAGATGACCAGAGAAAGTGAGAATGGCCATTAAACTACATTAATGTTGACCGATAGTCAGCGTATAATACTTACACAAATACTTTTGGGCATGTACATTGTATAAGTTACACTACTTTAAATAACTTTATTAAATCACTAAATGATTTTTTTTTGAAAAAAATCAAATGAAATAAATCACTCATATTATAATACTTCACTTAAATTTTTTAGTGAAGTTTTAAAATATCTTTATCATAAAACTTTCAATGAAAAAAACCTAAGTTTTGCTTAATTATATACGAAATTTTTGTTCAATTATTTGTTGATTTAATTTTTAATTCAAAATCTTTAATAAGTAATACTTTTGATAATTGGTGTAATACAATTATATCTAACATTATGCTTTGCATTTTTGACAAATAAAAAAGTTTAAAATATTTAATGAACCAGTAGAAATTAAAGGTTAAAATAATATCTATATTTTGGAGGAGGTGAAGCACCAAGTTTTGGTATCCAAGGTTTTATACTGTAAAACTGCCTGAATTTTACTAAATCTACTTTTAAGCAATTAGCATCTTGACAATAAGGTTTTGTTAACTTGTACAGTTAATAAGAAGTTATTTATTATTTTGATTTAAGAATTTTTGATTTTAAAATTTATATTTGTCAAAATAATTCTAACTGGTTCTAGCTTTCATTACTTGATTTGAAAATTTCTTTCATGGCCTTACCTCACGATAGATTTACTATTTCCTAATTAATAAATTAAAAATTTTCATGTACAAATATAATTCTATTATCAAAAAAAATAACAAATACTTCCTTCTTTTGGATCAATGATTCTGGAATTTACAAGAAAGCCCTATTGCATTTTTAATTTCATTACACTAAAATTTTGTTGAAAATTCTAGCATAAGTCATTCAATATATGGGTCAGATCAAATTATTATTTTAACTCGTAACTAGAGGCCTTAAACATTTATTGATTAGTAAAAGCCTTTTTCTAGGATGCCAAATTACATACATAATATTTACAATGATAAAAAATATTTATCAAAAGTTTTTTAACAATCTATCAATGATTATTTGATTTTAATTAATATTTATAATTATGTATCAATTGTAATTCTTTTAATTATTCAATACTTAAAAATATTGCTTTTTGTCATTAGTATTATAATTGTATAATTTATAAGGATTCTGATTTGATTGATATCATATTAAAAATCAATCTGAATTTTCATTAATTTTAATATACAGTCGTCCCCTTTTATAGTCACACCCCTTGGGACCAAAATTAAAAAGTGTGATTATAATAAAAAGTTACTATACAGGGGGATTTTTATATGTTGTTACTAAGTAATGATTCTGAAAGGGTGTGACTATAAAAACACTGTGATTATAAAGGGGTTTTTTTATATAGCATTAATAGGTATTGGTTCTTACGAAATGTGTGCTTATAATGAGGGATTTATAAGATGTGATTGTACAGGGGTGACTATAGAGAGGGACGACTGTACAAAAAAGACAAAATCATATCGACAAGACTAAAATAAAAAAAAAAATAATGCTATAAGAAGTAGGCTTTGTATATTCTGGTATGAAAATATTAAATACATTCTCCTTGAATTGGATCACAAGTTCATGGTTTACTTGATGTAAGGATATTTATATCATAATATTTTATTAATAAAAAAAAAAAAATATTATATACATAATTATTACATAACCTTTAGGTATATCTGAAAAAGTAGTGAAATTTCTAAAGTAAACCCATGTATAAAATGGTTAAACCTACATTTAAAATTAAGCTATTTCAATAATTATTATATCGGTATATAATATGCCGATGTTAAAAATAAAGTTAATAAACTTCAATTATTGGCATCTATAATTATATATAATCAATATTAGGTTATATTTACATTGACAATTCATTAGATCGATAATTCATATTACTACTTAATTTGTAATGAGCTAGAAATTCCTAATGCATGTAATCGAGAATCTTGAAAAACTGTTAAAATGCAATGAATTAATATTTCTTTATCGAAAATAAAAAGTTAAGTATATATTACCTTCATTATTCTCATCCTTTTCAAGATATGAGGTAATAAGAGACGAATTAATAGGTTTTGGCAAATTTTTAAATGTAAATGCTCTACTTGTATATACAGCATCAGGATTTGCTTTAAGTGACATTAAATTATTTGGTATTTCTTTATCTGCTTCTTCAAATGCTTCATTTATTTCTTTTCCATAATATCCATATTTTTTGATAATTTTATATTTTTCATAAATATAAATAAAGCAAAACCAAAAATCCATTATATTTAACAACTCATCGCAGTTGTTCTTTGATATGGTACAATTATGAGCCAATTTCTTGTAAAATTCAGGGGTTCCTTTTCCAAATTCTGGACGAAATCCATTACAAATATCCAAGGCTAAAGATACTTCATGTTTTCTTTCAGCAAAGGGAGGATTACCAGTTGATAATTCAGCCATAATTACACCAAAACTGTATATATATCAGAAGCCAAAGTATATAATTCTCAATTCAAGACTTCTGGAACGATATATGGTAATACTCCATATATTTTATTATCCGATTTTTGCTTATCTGCTGGTCCCCGATAACCCAAAGTCTGAAATTTAAGAATCTTTATCTTGCAAGATATTTCCACTATGAAGGTCCTTATGACAATATATTACTTAATATAATTTACTAATTTTAAAGATAACTTCTCAAATTTCCATCAGATGCAAATTGTACGATCATAATAAAATCTTTGGCTTTTGGATCCTTAGTTATTCCATAAAAGTATAACGTAGACGGATATACTTTATGAAAATCCCAATGAGCTTAAGCTAGTTTTTTGTAATAGAAATTTAAGAGCAAATTAGAAGAATATTCTTATTAATTCATATCAAATATAAATGTGATATACCTCATTAAAATATTTAGCTAACATATCCCGTGATCCATTTAATCTTTTCAAAGCAACCTCCATAGGTTCAGATCCGATTTTTTCCAACTTTCATTTCAAATCTCGATTGAACATCAATCCATGTTGCAGAATACACTTTGGCAAATCCTCCTTCACCATTTTCTTTTATATCTGTGAATCTATCAAAGGCACCTATTCAAGATATCTTTGATACTCATGAAGTCTTGTAAGATACATTGTATCTTTGATGAACTTATCAATTTCAGTATTTTCACTAGTCCATCCTTCAATTACACGCAAAGGATCCCATTTTTTTACACCATAATTCCTCGGAAAATGGTTCATCGCAATCAGAACATTTATTATCTGAGACGAATTTGTGTTTTATTTTCATACATATTTGCATCCATTTTTTTATTTATTTTTTAAAAAAAAAAAAAATTTCTCTGGTAATCAACGGAAAATATTCTCCGAATATTGCAGTGGTACAAAATATATGTGATAACTTTATCGAGTGAACCTTTCAAGAAGGTTGAAAATTCAATTCATCAAGAATTTTATAATAAAAGGTGTTTCGGCTTGCAACATGACTGAGTTTCTTGTGAGTGTTTTCTATTTTGAATCAGGAGCTGGCGATCTTGCATACACATCATTTAATTCGTATCACTATTATAGAAGTATTACAGTTAAGGCTGGGATAAGAAAAATAGCATGAAAGTATTGAAAACTCTATTTCCTTTTTATTTCTTATTTGTAACATTCCACCCTGCTTCCATAATAAGATTAGATAAGTTTTTATTCGTGTTTTTAGTTATATTCGCAAGATAGCACGTCATATAAAGTTGGATTTTGACAATTAGGTGAGAGATTGGATAGTATCAATAGAAAAATATTAGCGTTTGGTAAACTTAATAAAGATTCTAACAACTAACAAGAAATATTATAAATGTCTAATAGTCAAATTTCAATGGAATTAAGTCCAGTAATCAAATAGTCCAATGGTTATTAACTACAAAGTTTAAAGATTCTAGTTCCTTATATAGTTATCTTAGATTAATTTTAAAACGATTAAGATCAAGTCCTGAATATTTTAAATAAAAGGCAAAACTTATAAACTTGAAAATATAATATAATTTGTTAAATCGTTATATTGATTAATGTATTTTTTTTTAAACTATATAGGCGGTGATTTACTATGTCTATTGATTTTAATAGCAAAAGACCCATACAAGCTCATATTTTTTTTACATCAGGTTCTCTTCAAAATTTTAATCATGTTAAAAAAGTCGGTAAATAAAGAACACTTTACGAATCATTTACCTATGAATTACTTTCAATTATTGTAAAGAATTTATTTGATAAACCGCTTTTAATTTCCTCTCTATAGGCTAAAATAAGGTACCCGGGCAAACCACGGAGGTTTTGACAGGCATCGCATCGAAATCGAAACCCGTCGAAACGTTTTGCCAAATTTTTTTTAAAGGAAAAAACTTGCGAGGTGGCGAAACTTCTGATATTAAAATACAATTTATTATTTTTGTTTTTACGAGATGAGCAAATCGTATATATTTATAAAAAAAAAATTCAAAAAATTCCAAGTCCAATTAGTCTTTTCATTCATTTAATCTATTTAATCTCATGACAGTATCCATATCATCTCCTTCATCCATTAAACTTTTCATTTGAAAAATCACCATCTTCTTCATAAGGTAATCTTCTAATTCTTCAACAAGTTCCTATGCTTACAAATTTAATGCCTGCTCGATAAATAATGTATTATTTTGGAAATTTTGTTCAAATTTAAAATAAAGAACAAAAAAAAAAATCGTTTTTTATATTCTACGATAGTGATACAATAAACCTGCTAAAACTTTCGAGACCACATCGAAACCATCGAACCATCGAAATTGTCGAAATAATTTTGAAAAGTTTCGACTTTTGCCAAAATGGGTTTTTTGGTTTTGCCCCGCTCAAGTATCGACTAAAGAATCGATGCTTTATAAAAGTTAACATGGGACGAGATAAATCGAATCTGTATGGACTGACCCATATATTTATGGTCTGTAAGAATTTATTAGAGAAAAACAGATGATAAATCAAATTGTTAATAACTCATACTAGATATATGAATTCCAACTGTGGTTTCTTGCCCATATAACATAATAAATTAAGAATGATTTCTCCAAATTAGTATTTTTCTTTTTTTTTTTTGACGCTGTATTTATCCTATAAAAAAGGATAATTTGAGTCACCAAACTATAATTTTCAACATAACCGTTTCTTGCTTACCAATTACAAATCCAGGTATTGGGGTGAAGTACTGCTTAATAATTCAAAGCAAAACTAGTAACGGGGACTGTTTGAAAGTCCGCAGCGTTAACCCATTTTTAATTCACGTGATAAAGTAATTCGTAATAGATAATGATCGGCAGTGAAACAAAAGAGCGGGACATCTTGTGTCACCGCGTCTAGACTGTAAATAGTCCTACGCTACGCTCCGGACTAATTATCAGTCTTCGACTCATCCATTGACGTGTTTAATTATGTCAACGACATAATAATTGACTGATTTGTTCAATATCGAAATAATGGATTTCATAAAAGGAAATCAAATGATACATAAAAATTAATGTATTTCTTTATAAATCATTTTTGTAGCTTCATTTTGTCAATGGTTAATTTATATTTAAGAGTTAGCGAAATTGCAACAATTAACAATTTATGGCTGCTTCAATTGTAATTTTAATATTTGTTACATTTTCTATTACAAGAAAAAAATAAACTATTTAATATGATTTATCGGATACTTGAACAATATGTGAGAAAATGATTATATTATGATTATATTTATGCGCAGTTCGAAAATTTTTAACATATGGTTTACTGGGTTGTTAAACTATAAATGTTAGGCTAAAAAATTTTTTGGACTGAAAAACGAAAACCCGGTCGTATTGTGACGTGACTGAAATTGATTTTCGTGGAATTCGGACGATCTTCGAGCGTCTGAAATTGGAATTCCAATTTCAGTTAATTTGAAAATCAATTTCAGTCACAACAGTTATTACAAATTATTAGAATCATACCAAAGTTCGTTTACATTAAGATAATTCTGTTCGTATTACAAATTATAAAAATATGTAAAAGATAATATTTTTTACAAATTTTGATTGTACGTAAATAAAATCTTTCCAAAAAAATCTTATTCATATGTATTGCAAAATTGCAAAATGGCATGTACTAAGATGATTTAATACTCGCAAATGGTTTATGATTTCTAATTGTTTTCCTTTATGTTTTTTGCTGAACGAACGAATGATGATCTATCTATTCATTAGAAATGAAAACTTTATAAATATAAGAACTTTCCACCGTTAAAATCTAAACAAAAAAAAAACAACTTTAATAAATAAAAGAACTTTCCACCGTTAAAAAACAAAATCAAAAATCAAATTACAAAATGAACATCAAATTCAATTCATTTATTTCAATTCTTTTATTGTTCTCTTTATTCACATTGTTCAATGAAGTAACAGCTATAGATGGTAACCTTTTCTTTTCTTTCATTTTTAAATTGATATTTTTTAATCATTTTATTTCTTTTTTAAAATTGATTTTTTCGTCCCAATTTTCTTATTTATACAGAGGATCCATCATCTGGACCTAGAGCATATTGTGATGGTAAGTTTTTATTTATTTTTTTTTTTTTAAAAAAAAAAAATCTTTTTAATAAAATCTTTTCTATCTTTCCCGTTCTCAGCATTACAATTCGTTTCTCCTAAAGCTGGTGATGAATTGAGTAAGGATGACGAGATTGAAGTAGTTTGGACAAATGGAAACATCAAGCTTTTTAATGGCGTAAATAGCCTTGACTTATATAATAATGCAACTGGAGAATTTGTTAACAGATTATGGAAAGGTAGTCAATTATTCGATGAGTATGGGATTGCTTCTGTAAAAGTAACACTTGAAGTCCCTGAGAACACTAAATTACCTGCTAAATTTATGTTTAAAAGTTTTGGTTCATTTATGGAAACCACTTGTACTAGTTTTGGTGGAAATTTTACTATAAAAGAGTAGACTTTATTAGAATATGAACTACTCTTCTTAATTATTATTATTTCAATTATTAATAAATCACAAAATATCATCATATTTTTAACTGTGAAATTAAAGACATTTTTTTTTTTGTTTCTTTGGTACGATTTTCCAATAAGTAAATAAATCTTTCGATAATATATAAATCTTCTGTACCATAAATGATTCCAAAAATAATTTATTGCTCCATTTTTTTTTTTTTAAAGAAAATCAGTGTTATTTGATTAAAATTTTTCAGGTGATGCCATAATTTCATTTCTGTAATCCTAATTTTATCTGAAATTTCAGATATCCGAAATTAAAAATAGTACAAGTATATTGATCAATAAAAGGATTATGGGTAGGGTTGGATTTGGACATATACGTATGATGTCAGATATTTCCAAGTGCAGGATGACGGGATCACTGACATGAGCGTTATACGAAAGCGCTACCTGAACAATGAGTGCTTCGCTGAAGAATCTTTAAGGGTAAAAGAGACCCTAGGGAGGTACGTTCATATGCGATCTGATAATTGATGAGCGCTTGCAAAACAAACAAGAAGATGCACGGAAAAATTTTCGAATGAAGTACTGATCGAAGAAGGATCGAACAAAAACTATCTCAATTCTTACCAAGGATTGAAAAAGGAACAGAGGAGAATACTTGTTCATAAAGAGTATCATCACCTCAGAACGACCACAAGTGATCAATAACATGGTTAACATAACTATGAATCACCTGGGACATTTTTACTTGTGTGTTTCTATTACTTTGGCACTTCAAAAATCCATATCCACTCTTTGAACTTCATAAAGACCGGGGACAAAAACATCGGTGCCTGGGGCTGGTCAACCACCCCCTCCATTACTTGCTTGATTTTAAAAAGGGTACATTATCAATAACCAAGATGATCTTTGTGAAAAGATAATCTCGCTAGATCCAGGTGTTTGCACGTTTATGACAGGTTACGACCTCGATTGTCAATTAATTGAGTGGAGTAACGGTGATATTGACAAAGTATTCAAATTGTCCAAGAAATACCACAAATTATGGAGCGACAAGGATCTTGCTTTGGGAAAAACAACAAGAGGAAGAGATTTCGATTAGGAAAAAGATGCTACGAATCATACAACGAATCCGTAATTTGATAGATGCCCAGCTGGCCCGATGGTTATATTTTAGATTTCGAATGTTTTTTTTGCACATGATAAGAGAGTACAACAAGGTCACGAGGAGTACACTTCTGAGACATGTGAGCACTGCGGACAAATCAATGGCAAACTGGGTGGTTCTAAGACTTTTCGGTGCAATTCGTGCGAAGATGGAGATGGATCGAGACGCGAACGGGGCGAGGAACATAAAAAATCGGTTAATAAAATTAATACAAACTCTCTTACTCAAATTGTTATCGGAGGGTCAGGTTTTGGCCTGACTTTGGGACTTGAACTTTTATGGGATACGATATGACTAACTCTGTTTATTCATGTTGGATTCAATTTCAAGGGTATCAGCACCCTCTAAACATTTACTTTCTCGCAAATGCTACAAAAATAAAATGCTTCAATCTTTCGATTATTTTTATTTTATTTCCGATAAATAAAAATTTTTTTGAATTGTTTTTTGAATGCCGAGACACAAATGATGAGTTTCCATTCTGATATCCAAAACAAGATAAGTGAAATTTTTACTAAAAAAAAAAAAAAAACGCGTTTTATATTATTATAAAAAAAAATCCGAGGCTCCGCAACCATTAAAGTTAGTCTCATGAAAAATTAAGCTTCCTTGTTTTTCATATAAATTACACCCTGAAAATTAAAAATAATAACGCGTCAAGATATTATTAAATAAAACATCCAATATTTAAACAATTTCCTTAATAAGAACAACCCGAACTTTATGAATTACAAAAACCCTGAACTACGTTGATAAATAAATATTAACTTTTATTAAAAATTAGTATATATAAATTTATTATTGCTAATGATTATGAACAAATCAAATTGGGTCTAGGTTAAATGAAATGATAAAAAACATCATTATACAAATCCAAAAATAGTTGATTTAGTAATTCGCATGTTTCTTCTAACTTTCATAAATTCTCAATTTCCTAATAAGAATCATCTTGCTCGAAAGTAGAATAAACATTTTCCTTTTTCAAAATTTGATTTTGTTTCTTACCAGGCTTCTGCTTGTTGTATCTAATAGGCCAATAAATAATAGGAGTAGGAGTATAAGAATTATTTTTATAATGCCACCAAGCTTCCTTAAATTTCGATTTATCAAAAGAATCATCTTTTAGTAGATTATCGTACTTAAAACCCCTAATTCTCAAAAATTCTAAATTGGGATGATTGTGTTCTAACGTTTCGAAGAATTCAGGATTAATTTGTCTACCATCATCAATTGTTATTATACGCCAAGAAGGGCAATCGACAGGCCTTTTAACTAAACTAATCCAACCTTCTTGCGTTACATTAGGTAAACGATCTCTAATATTAAACTTAGTTAATGATTTCATTGACCCAAATCTGAGTAATGCTTCATCCGATATGTTCCGAGTTTTAACTAATTCTAGTTCGATTAAATTTAACTTTGAAACATTTAAAAATCCTTCTTCATTCATTTCACCAAAATCTCCGATCGATAAGTATTCTAAATTTGGAAAATTTTTCAAAAATAATAAATTACTTTTCCCCTGAATTTTTAAAATTGATAACCTTTTTAAATTCTCCATCCTTTCATTCATTTGATTTAAATCTTTCCCATTTACTGTATGTGATAAATATATTGATTTGATTGATTTAGATTTATGTAAAAATGGAACTGTTTCGCTCGAAGCTGATATATCTAAATATTCTAATTTTTTACAATTTTCCAATAATATCATCGTGGACTCCTTTGAGATGGGATGTATAAATGTGTCAAAATCGAATATTCTTAAATTCTTACAATATTTTCCAAATAAAAATACAATCGTTGATGGATCTGCTATTAATTTCTGACTATTCAACGTTATCCTTATCGATTGCAAGGAATTTTTTGCATTGCTCGTAAAACTATTTCAGTTAGCAGAAAATGGTAAATGGTAATAAAAAAAAAATTAAAGAATTTTTTTAACGTTAAAAAGAAATCTCTTTCTCACCTTTCCCACACCCGTTCAGTCATTTTGGGATCATATAATCGAACACTTTTAACGGATCCTAATTTAACGGTTTCACTTAACGCATCGCGGTATTCTGCCTCATCGTTCCCATTATCATCGATGGTATCTCTTTTTGATCCCACTTGCAAGTTATCCGAATCTTTACAGGAAGAAGGTTTATAATGATTATACACTTGTTTCAAAATT